CCACAGCACTGGGAAAACCACACAGGGAGGGACAATCCGTGCCAGGGCTGCAACCACGGGAGGAAAAGACAAGCCAGACAGCGTTTTGGGACTTTACTACGGTCCACAGTAAGAGCAGGAAAGGGATTTTAAAATATGTTACAAACAAAAAAGTATCTCGGGGAAGTGCAAGATCTGCAAACGGTGGCAGATGAAGAAGTAGCGTGGCCTCAATTCAGGGCCACAGCTGAGCTGCAGAGCCAGGGTGACAGCCAAGAGGGCCTGTGTCACTCGCAGTGTGCTCATGCCCAGGGGGAAAACGCTGAGGTGACGGGGTGGGAGCTGTGCTGCAGCATCTCCAGAGCAACCCCAGGCCAGCAGGGTCCCGGGCTGCCCTGTGCTCCTGGCTCTGCCATCACTCTGCCACGGGTTTCGCTTCCTTGGCCGCTTCCAGCCGTGCCAGTATTTCATTCCACTGGACAAACTGCTTGGAAAGCAGCAGGGTCTGGGTGTAAACCTTAAGGAAAGAAATGTGGAAAACTGCAGGGAAGAAGGCAAGGTTGGAGCACCCTGACAGCCCAACAGCCCCACTACAACCATTACTCCTGGGGAGGAGGCCTGAGGCTCCAGGATGTAGGAAGCCCTTGGCTTCTTGAGAGATGTGTGACAGGGACACAGGTGTCACCACATCAGAAGGGGCACTGGCGATTAAACCTGGGGCTGGGGATCTAACTACATCTGATGGGAGAGGCAGCCCAGGAGACAAGCAGGCACTTCATCTGTCCCAGGCTCAAAGGATACCACTTTGTTGTAGTCTTCCAGGAGTGCCTTGATGCTGTCGGTGAGATCGTGACGCTGTTTCTGCAAAGAGGGGAGCGCAGTGAGTGAGAATAAGCTGAAGGGCATTTGTCCTCCCAGTCCCTTACAGCACAGTGGGCAATTCATCCAAGGTCAGTACTGAGCTCAGACCCTGGCTGTGGCCTCTCAGTGCAGCTAGAAGAGTTCCAACAGTCAAGGGAATGGTTACAGACACCCGTCCTGATGAAACACCAGAGCCCCTGGGCTTGCACTACTGCCGGCCTCTTCTCAGAATCCTTGCTTTGCTTTCTCCAGAAGGGAAACTCACAGCAAAATCCTCAACACTGGAATAGGCTTGACACTGGAATAGGCTGCCCAGGAAGGTGGTTGAGTCTCCATCCCTGGATGTGTTTAAGGGTTGTTTGGATGTGGTGTTGGTGGATACGGTTTAGGGGAGAACTTTGTGGAGTAGGGATGATGGTTGGACTTGGTGATCCCAAGGGGCTTTCCCAAATTAAATTTCTATGATTCTATGAAAGTGGGCATTGCCCAGGCTACCCACTGCAGCTCCAGGAGCACTGGAATGAATGGGTAAGGAAAAGGTGAAGTGACAAGGTGATGGTACCAACAGCCTTCCAGAGTCTTCCTTCCAGGACACTGAAAGAGTGCAATGCTTTACCTCAGTGTCCCAGAGAAAGCACAGAATGCCAGCTGATTAAACCCATCACCACTATGTGTCACTCAGACCTCTGTTTTGAGCAGATGTAGTAGGCAAAACACTTTTCCAGCTCCAACTGGATTGTCAGAAATCCCAGCTACTTCCCTCCCAAAGTGCTTACACTTCAAGACAGCAGTATAAATATGCTGGGATTGAAAACAAGGAGCAATTTGAGTAATTGCAAGTCCAGGGGTGTCAGTACAGCCACTGACAAATAGTTATTCCTCCCAGCTAGTCAAGACTGTCAAGAACATTCACACTACCTGCTGCTGTATGTGGATTTGGGACAGTCGCTGTAGCTTCGCTGCATGGTCAGGAACTGCTGAAAGCACAAAAGAGAAACCCGTTTTGTCTGTTTGCAGCACATGGAATTAATTCCCAAAATAAAGACCGTTCCTCCTCCACGAGCACACCACAGCAGGGATGTTCTGGAAGGGAGCTCACAGGTGGGAATGGCCTGCTGGCTTCCACCCCCTCTGCCAACCTGCTGTCTCCAACCTGCTTCCTGACCTACTCTATCGCTTTTTTGACCTTGTATGGGACATCAGGGCAGCATGAGGGAGGAGCAGACATGCCACTGAGCTTGTAACTACTTTACTCCCACCAGGTTGTGCTCTTAGCTGTTCTCTCCTCTAGTCTGAGGCTCAAGGGAACAAAAAAAACAGAACGCAGGATAGGCAACAGCTTGGGGGATAGCATGTGAAGCTCAAACTTGCAGGAGAACAAGCCTACCTTGGATACTGGTGCTGTCCAAGATGGGCTGGAGGTTCTTCACCTGCTCCAGAAGGGCTGCTCGGGAAGGAAGAGGAACCTGCTCCTCTGGTTGGAGAGGGACAAGAAGCAACATCAGTAAATGATTTTATTTAGACTTTTGGTTTGCTCATCCCTGGATCTTGGTTCACACCAATTTAAGGTGGGAGAACCTCCACCAGGTTTCATTGACACACTATACTAACACAAGATTCTGAACCAGATTCTTTGGGGCAAAAGAAGAGTAGACGGTATTTGAAACACATCCAAAGGTCTTCCAATTTTGTCACAGCCTAAAGAGTACTGGAAGAGGGGTGAGGACAACTGTACTAGCTCTAGTTTTTCTTTTAAACCTTGTAGTAATTCAGAGTTAAAATGATCAATACTAAAAAGATCGGAACCAACAAAACCGCAGCATGGACATGCACAGGGGAGCACTGAGGGTAACAGAGAGGTACAGACCCCCTCTCTGACAGCTGATGGTGTCAGATCTTTACAACTAAAAAAGAGTAATCCATCCCAATCCAGCTTAGGCTAACTGGCAACTTCTGCAGTGCTAATAAAAAAACCCAACCCTATCTCTGCTCATTTCATGCCATACCTGCCAAGATGAACTGCAGCTTCATGGCATCTGGAACAGCCATCCTGTCAATGTACTGAGGGTCCAGGTATTTTATGACATCTTCAACTAGAGTGAAAAACAGGTTTTGAGGCAAAAAAAAAGTAGGGGAGAAGTTACTGCACTTACAAGTGCCATTTTCTCCTACTCTATACACAAGGTTGACCTGTAAACACTGCTCACTTCAGGTCGTTTCTATACAGATTCATTACTATCTACAGCACTTGAAAATACACAACTTTGGAGCACTGTGACCAAGAACTGACATAATGCTCAAACCAAATAACTACTTTGTTGTGGACACCAGCAGCACTTGCTTTTTATTTATATAATGATACTAAAAGTGAGTGGAATCTGCTCTTCTTTTTTCACTCCTGATGTCCGATATCCCTTATTTTGGAGGCAGCTCCCCAGATCCATCCGCCACATGGATGCATGTGATCCTCACTGCTCCCACCACACACACTGGGGAGAGCTGGTCTGCTGTGCTTGAGAAGCCAGGGAGTCATTCCAGGTGCTCACACTGCAACAAAGCTCAAGGGCTGCGTTCCAGGTGGAGTGAATCGTGGCGCTGAGGCAGGCAGACACCAGGCAAACAGCAGCTTGCAGCACTGCATTTCCCATCCCTAACAGCTGAGAGGGTAGGGGAATGGAGCAGAAAGACCTCACTCAGCTCACAGAATCACAGAATGTTTTGGGTTGGAAGGGACCTTAAAGAGCATGTTGTTCCAACCCTCTTCCCCTGGGCAGGGACACCTCCCACGAGACCAGGTTGCTCCCAGCCCCCTTCCAACCTGGCCTTGAACACTTCCAGGGATGGTGCAGCCAAATCTTCTCTGGGGAACCTGTGCCAGTGTTTCACCACCCTCACAGGGAAGAACTTCTTCCTAATGCCTAATTTAAGTCTACCCTCTTCCCCTTCAAAATTGGTGCCCCTCATCATGTCACTACACACCCTTTTACAAAGTCCCTCCCAAGCTTCCTTGTAGCCCCTTCAGGCACTGGGAGGCTGCTAGAAATTGTCCCTGAAGCCTCGCTTCTCCAAGCTGAACAACCTCCACTCTCTCTGCTATAGCAGAGCTGCTCCAGCCCTCTGATCATCCTCATGGCCCTCCTCTGGACTCAACACTGCCGTGTCATTCTTAGGCTGGGGGCTCCCAGAAGTGTTCATTATTTATCAGTCAAATTTGCAAAATAAGAGCCCAGATGCGCCGGGGCGCAAACGGGTCGGGGGAAGCGAGAAACGCCAGGCAGGCTGCTCCAGCCCCACCCCACTGCCCCCGAGTCTTCCCCATCGCCCTCCCCGTAGGCCGCTCACTTTTCTTAAACAGGATTTTGATCCTCTCCCTCTTCCCGGCGATCGCGTTCAGCGCCACCTGCACCTTCACCAGCTCGTCCGCCACCTGCAGACGCAGGGAAGAAAGGGACGGGCCC